CCTCCTCTCATATTCTCAATGGGCCCCGCCGCTATCATTGTTTACGTAAACATACATGGCCCATGTTTACGTAAACATCTCGGCGGGTACCCCTGTGACGTCATCCCCCCGCGCAAATTCCCCCCCGCCCCGCTCCCCCCTCGGAGCTCCTGGGTTAGAACCGGCCTATTCCTCCTACTATTATAATCAACCTCCAGGTTACAGTAATTACATTTAGCTATATAAGTATTTTGTTTTTTAATAAAATGTGGACTCAAATCACTTGGTATGATATAATCCTCATCCAGCAAACCATGAGTTTGCTGTAAGTGATGTCGTAAAGTGGAAATGCTTATAATTGGAGAAAATAAAGTTCCACAAAAATTAGCTTGACACACAATATGATTAAAATCTGTTTTTAAAGTGTAATAGTTCCAGAACCATTTCTTTTCTCGAGTATTCAAAAAAATTTCGTTTTCATCGGCTCCTTCTATTTCTTCTGTAACGCCCCGAGGTGTTGATCCCACAAGCGTTGGTCCTGATCCACGTACTGCGTGATCATTGTTTTAAGCGCACGGTTTGTTCTCTCCACGGGATTGCAGTGGGGCGCGTACGCGGGTGTCAAGCGGTGCTCAATTCCGAACTCGGAGCACAGTTTCCTGAGCGGCTGCGACCGCAGTTGCGTTCCGTTATCTGACAAGATTTTCTCCGGGCATCCGTGTCGATAGATAATGGCTTCGGTAAGGTTTTGCGCGACGGCCTCGGCGGTGGCCCGGCGGAGAGATCTCATCTCCACCCACTTTGTAAAGCGGTCCTGCATGTTGAGCAGCCAGGTGTGGCCTTTCGTAGAGCGTGGCAATGGCCCGACGAGGTCAATGGTGACCTGTTGCCATGGTCGGGTCAGGGCCGTCGCGTGCAGTAATCCTAGTGGTTTCTGCTGGCTGACCTTGTGCATTACGCAATTTTTACAATTCCGCATATACCGCTCAATTTCGCGGAACATACCCGGCCAATAGTAGTATTGGGCAATGCGCGCGATGGTTTTCGCTGAATAGATTCGTTTTCTGTGTCATTGTTCTCCTCACTGGCCGAAGATTCCAGTCGCTTTTTACTGAATTCTTCTTTTTAGCCCTTTTTTGATTACTGGAACTACTATTGCTGCTACTACTACTACTAAAAAAGTATCACTAGGGTTCGTTCCAATTCGTTTGAGATCTCAATTTCTTCATTTTTGAGGGACGTTTTTTCATCCCTCTGGTCATTGTCGACCGCACCTGCTGATGCCAGGTGGATAGATTCGTTTTCTGTGTCATTGTTCTCCTCACTGGCCGAAGATTCCAGTCGTCTGTGTTTCGTCGCTCTCTTTTTCTGTCTGACATTTTTAAGTGATCCCACGGCTGATGTTTTTCGTGGATGTCGAAAATTATAAGGACATGTGCTTGTACTCTGTCCTTGTACACTATCACTATCTGAATTTTCTTGGCCACTGTCACATGGCACAACGATCGAATTTACGTTATCTTTTTTGGAAACGGCTGCGTCGTAGGTTCCTTGCCCCCTAACCGACAGCCCAATCTTTTTAGAGGCCCCCTTTTTTTTATTCATGGCTTGCAATTAGTTATACTTGAAAATCGTGACAAGCGTCGCGATGGGAAGTCGTAATGAGATGCTAGTCAATACCGCTGAATACCGCGAAGATACTAGATCTGTGCCCAAGATGGCCGGCGGTGGGTGCGTCGTGGAATCTCTCCAAAATCGCGCTCCGTCCCTCCGTCGGTATGCACTCCTTCCACTGTTCGTCGTCCGGTATCTCCTTGAAGTCCAGGCTGTGCAATACATGTCGGTACATTTTGCCGTCTCGCATGCAATAATCGGGCACGGTATTGGGTGCATTCTCTGTCTGTTGCTGCATCCGCCGATACCACCGGCATCCGGATCGCCGAACGGCGCTTACGGTGGGCTGGCGAGATAGGGCATCGGCCACTCGGTTCAAGGCGCCCTTCCGGTACTTAACCTCGAAACTATATTGTTGTAGCTCCATCATCCACCGCACCAGACGCCCCGTTGGTGTGTCTAGCTTATGCAGCCATCGTAGCGACTGGTGATCGGTTACTACGGTAAAGTGGTAGCCCTCCAAGTATCCCTTCAATCGGCGAATGCCCCAGACCACTGCGAGACATTCCAATTCAGTTGCACTGTAATTCTTTTCGGCTCCATTCAGCGTGCGGCTTGCGTACCCAATCACGTGCTCCCCTTCCGGGAAATATTGCGTCAGGACGGCTCCGAGTCCGCTCATGCTGGCGTCCGTCTGCAGCTCAAACGGTCGTGAGAAATCCAGGCATGCCAGCACGGGTGCGGATGTCGAATAGGTTTTTAGCTGTCGGAAGGCTTCCTCCTCCTCCAAGCCCCACTGCCACCTTGCGTTCTTCCTGGTCATTGCAGTCAGCGGGGCGGCGATCGTGGCAAAATTTGGCACGAACCGGCGGTACCACGAGGCCATTCCCAAAAACTGCCGGACTTGCTTAACGGTGGTTGGCGCCGCCCAATCGTTGACCGCGCTTGTCTTCTCCGGATCCGTTCGTACTCCGTCGCGATCAACCACGTGCCCCAAATATTTCAGCTGATCAACGCAAAACCTGCACTTGTCCGGATTCAGCCGCAACTGCGCCTCCCTTAATCTCCGAAAGACCTCGGCCAGCGATTTTAAATGGTCGTCAAACGTCTCATTTACTACGATAATATCGTCCAAATAGACCAACACGTTCGGCTCGAGTTCCGGTCCTATAATCGTGTCCAGCAGTCGCTGAAACGTGGCCGGCGCAGAGTGCAACCCGAATGGCATCACCCGGAACTGCATTAATCCCCTGCCCGGCACCGAGAAGGCGGTAATTGGCCGGCTTTCCGGCGATAGGAGCACCTGCCAGTATCCATTTTTGAGGTCCAGCGTTGATAGGTACCGTGCGCCCCGCAGTTTATCCAGCGTGGCTGCGATGTGTGGCAGAGGGTAGGCGTCCCTCTCCGTCAGCTCATTGACCCTCCGGAAGTCGATGCAAAACCGCGGATTGCCGTCCTTCTTTCGTACCACGACCACCGGTGAGCTCCATGCACTGTGAGACCGCTCTATCACCCCTTCGGCCAGCATTTTGTCAACTTCCTCGTTGATTATGGCCTGCATGGCCGGATTGCGGGGCCGGTAACGTTGTTTGATCGGCGTGGCGGTTTTTAACCTTATGTAGTGTTGCGCATGCGTGATCGGTCCCCGCACCTGGGCGAACAACGCCAATTCTCGGTTTAGAAATTCCCGGAGTCTTGTTGCTTCGCCGGGCAGGGCGGACGGGTCGCCGGCGGCCAGCACACACGTGGCCGATCGGGCGTGCGGTCGAACGTGGCACGGTGAGGGTCGCTCCAATGCGTTCCTACAGGTCCATTCCAATGAGCATCTCGCTCTCCAAGTTTGGCATCACGAGGAATCGGTGTCGAAAATGCTGCCGCTCGATTCGTATGGCCACTTGCACGTGCCCCAGGATTCTAACTCTGGTACCGTCGGCCAGCTGCACCTGACTTTCC